TTTTAGACAGTTTTTAAGCAGCGACTAAGGCCAAAATGTGGCCGGAAACGCACTAGGTATACTCTCGTTTTTAGCCAAGCATATTTCTGGAAATGCTACTAATACTTTAGCAGTTCAATGCAATTCAGACTTGTGAAATCTCAACAACAATAAGAGGTCTTTGAGCAAACAGTCATACATTAGCACAACAATTATTTGGCTCAAAACATTTTTGATCTCCCAACAGGTCTTTAATTAGAAATAATCCCATCCACAATCAATAGAATGTCAATGATTCCCAATTCCATCTCTTTGAAACACCAGTACACATGACGCAGGACTAATCCCGAGGCTATTGGTTAATCCAATGATGTTTCACTCCAGATGTTGGATTGTTTCTCCAGATAAAAAGTGGGAGAATCAGCAGATAGTGGTGCTTAGGCTTGGAGGAAAGACGACACACTGAGGAGCGGAAGTTTCTGGAAGTCATCAGAGACGGACAGGGAAGAGGGGGGGGGGGGGGGGAGGGCAGCTGCACATGACTAACTGCAGGAGGAGGATGCCACAAATCGCATGCACACAAGGCCACATATTCAAATAGACTGTATGCATTAAAGTAAAGTAAATGCATCAAGAATACAATTGGGGGCCGTGAAAACATGTGAAAAGACGTCTACAAAAACCCACATCTTTGGCTTGCAGGTCAGGCAAACATGCCGCTTGATCATGCCCAAGTGTAAACACCAATAAACAAGAAACAAAGGCGTCGTGACTTGGAGTCAACAGCTGTCGAGTCTTATGGGGCAACTCTGTGATTCCGGCAAGGCATGGGAAACCGCGCTGTCAGTAAAGCATCCAAAACAAGCAAGCCGAGAACTTTTCCCCTCCTCCTCCCAAACCACCCAAAAAAGAATGAGTCATGGTAGGAGGCTCAGAAACAGAGATGATTTTTGGCTGCTGTGAACGAGGGAAAACTCAGAACACCCCATGGGAAATGAAGAACGATGTGTTATGTTTTGACATATTTTTTCAAATTGAAAACAACTTTCAACTGCTTCAAAAAGGAGCATAGAAATAGCTACAAATCATACTTTTCAGCGGAGCTACAGTAAAACACACATCTTTGTTCCACCATTCTATTGACTACCATTCATTTCTGCACCGTACTGCCTAACAACCTTGACTTTAAACGGCTGATTAAAACTATTATTTTCCAAATTATTTTTGTTTATGACATGTGCTGTTGCCAATGAGGAAATAATGTAATTATATAGGACTCTGCAACATTCATTTTGTCCTATTTGTATTAAAGTAGATACAACTCTGGTATGGCCCTTTAAAAAAGGAACTACCACAAAGCAGGCGAGGAATAAAAAGCATCAAGCGCCAAAGAGCCCGTTCTGTTTGACAGTTGATTGATCATGTAGTAGACACACAACATAAGTATTCAATCAACTCCAACAAACTACCTTTTAAACTGCGTTTTAATAGCAAACACAATCCCTCCTGTCTTCCCTCCGTCCACAGGAAGCATCACGGCAGCGCTTTCACCTTGAGGTACTCTAAGTGCAGGCTATTAGTGTAAGTGATACAGCCATATTGTGGTGAGAGAGAGAGAGAGAGATACGAGCTTGGAGAGGGAGGCAATAAGATGAGAAGGGCCCGTATGTGCTAGGCCAGGTGGGAGAATCTCTCGCCAGCGTCCATTAACAAAAGAGGAAGGAGTGAAGAATGAAGCTGGAGTTATTAAAGAGCAGAGCATCCCAGCTATAATGCGCTGACATGGGGGTTGGTGATAATGACTGCATGCACTTGAGGGACTCAAGGGTGAGGTCATTCTTCATTAACTTACTCGACATTTACATTCTTGGAGCCAACTGCACTTCAGTATGTCTCTAAGATTATTTCTAGGGCATCTGTTATAAGCCCTTATGTGCCATAGAAAAAAAATCATGAACAACAAGAGTGAATTTGTCACGTTGGTTGACTAAAAGTAATCAGAAGTAATGCTTTAAGCATGATTGGAACCTTCCGTTGCTTCTTATTTCTATGTTGCATTGAAATCCAAATGGTGTCGTTAATGGTTCAATCCATTTTGACTGCACAGTTGGCGACGCTGTGTGGGCTACAGGTTTCTGTTGTGTTCTGTTATTGCTGCGGTGATAATACTTTGTTTCCATGACATTGGGATGAGTCACTATGGCTACGGCTCCGTGCGGAGACAAAGTTAAATTAAAGAGGAAGACCCCATGACTGCGATGGCGGAGCTTTACTGGCAGAGAGGGGATGTAGTGGGAAATAAAAAGCTGATGAGGTCACGCTTGAACATATTTAAAAGCAGTCATATTATTCATTATCTAGAATGTCTGAATGGCATATTCGAAAAACAATCTAAGTACATTTCTCATAAAAGGTTCAAAAATGAGGAATACAGTCAATTAATAGGAGGACAGAGTAGAAAATACAAAATAATATTGGGGGCTTCTTTTACCTCCACTACAGTATATAACATTTACAAAACTTTGGGAGCAATTCTTAATATGTTAGCTTTTGCCTTTGACTTCCTGTCCTGAGCCATTTGTTATCCATACTGGGTGGAAGTGATGACACAGCGAGAGCGAGTGCAGGTAAATTCATCTGAACGCGACACCTAGCATCATCAGCAGTCAGGAAGCCGCCATCACCAGCCCCGCAGCAGAGTGACATGGTCTGCAATGCAACCGACACACTGTCACTTTTGCTTTCCACACACACCAAAACAGAGCCACGTGCAGACAGAGTGATGCAGTGCAGGCTGAAGCAGACAGAGCTTTGTGTTTTCATTACTCAGATTGTGGATGCAGATTACGGAGTCTGAAGCTCCGTCCCTTTGTGGTTTAGATCACAACTGGTTCACATGTCTGTTGACGGGAATGCCGCCCCTCGCAGGAAATACTTGGGCTCGAGAACATACGAGCTACTGATGATAAAACGCATTCCGGGTCTCCCCGTTTGGAGCTATGCTGAATTAGTGCTGAGAATATGGGAGATAAAGGCTGCTGGGAGTGGGGCTTTCTTTTCCCGTTGAGTTTTCATCTGATCTGCTATGGGAAAAAGACACACAAGTGGTGCGTGAACTCCGGAGACATTTGTCACAGTTATTATCACGGCAGTATGGTGTTCCTCAGAGCTATTTGCACTTTTTCATTATTTATTCTGGCTCAAGTTGGGGTTTTATCACATTACATCTTCTCAGAGAGATTAGGGTACTAAATATTTCTCAAATTTGTATCGTAGTTAATTGAAAACTTCACATCCCTAATCTCTTTTTATGCTTTAAGAAAAATAGCATTGATTTTATCTTCCTGACAATCCGTTTTAGTTTATAATCCAATTAACTTCAAAAAGGCATTTATTTGCTTAAGAGGTTTTGAACTACAACATCAACAACTACTTGAGCGGATGAGACAAGCATGAAGAGGAACTTCCACAAGTGTATACCAAAATACACAGGAGCTGCAAATCCAAGCACAATCCCACACACAAGCGGTTTACGTGCAACCACTCCGCCTGAGCAGTGTTCCCACTCAAAACAGTGGGAGCAAAACTCCAACAACTCTAGAGCTTCGTGTAAATGATGTCTGCTCCATTTGATTAGCTGTACAAAAAAGTTTTTAACAACCTACTGGGGGTGATAAACTCATCTGTACGGAAGCTTTCGTGTGAGGGGTCATGCAGAAAAAAGGGGTCTATTAAGCTAAGGACCATTGGGGGGGGGGGTGCAGTGTGTCTGGATTAGGGTGTAGAGGTGACAATGAGCCTGGCAAGCCCTCAGGGCACAAGGAGCTCAGGGATTTTTCTCCCTACCATGTAGCGAGCATGGACAGGGGGGCTCACGTCGACCCTCCCCTTGAGGTACAAAGCAGATGGCGGGGGATTAGCATCTGAATGTCGGCATGTATATTCACAGAGGGGGTCCCTCTCCTCCTGCTTCCCCACAGGAGCTAGGTGAGCTGAGGAAAAGACAGCTCGGGAGGGACTAAATCAATAATTGGCGTCCAATGGCGCGCAGACAAAAGAAGTGGGAAAAGCTGGTGGCTTTAGACATAAGGGATTTCTCAGCAGAAATGGCAAATTACTCAGATATGAGTTTTCTCAAAAGCTACACTTAATGTGAAGGAGGAAATATGCCAGCCCAGGAGATAGCAATCATGCTTCTGTAGACAGCGGAGATTACATCAGGACATGTACGGAGGGGCGCAGCTTTGATATTTTGGACTTTGAAACAAATATGCTGGTAGTATCAACAATGAGCTGACTTCTCTATGAAACATGTGAGGCGTTTTAGTTACTGAGGTAAAACACAGAGGACAGTTTTCCTATTCCTAAGAGGCAAAGAAACCAAACCATTTTTACTGTACAGTCTATAAAACCCATAAAAACACTACAAATAAGAGTTTATAAGGACACTGGGGATGTGCCAGGATACACTAAAGACCATGCATTGGGGAATATACACATTTCATTGCTATTTCCATTAGAAAGGGTTCTAGAGTACTTTGCCTGAATGACCGTAAACAAACGCTTTAGTATTGTGTCAGGATGCCAAGTCGCTGATTTGACAGAAAGCCATTCAGTTTCATTTTCTTCCAACAGCATGATTAGTTTAGCTTTATTAGGCTTAATAAAAGTATAATAGGTCATTTGTAGATGGTGAACGGATCTATAGATAAATGCATTTCTGTGTCTGAGGCTCTGAGCTAAAGTTTTTCAGTTTGTCACCAGCTATTGTCAGCAATAAAAGAGAAATGTTCCTTCCCAAGAGGCCATTCACAAACATCTGTTGATGCTTCAAATAAAGGCTCCTTTTTATGTCGTGATTTATGCTCTCTGATTTAACGAGGTGACCCAAGTCTTCCCACTAGACAGCCTAAACAACAGGTACAACAAAGAATAGCAATGGAAGAAAATAACAGAAAGATGCAGTTTTCTAGTCTCCTGCCTGTATCCTCTTACTACAGAGTGAGATAGAGGGTCTCTACACACTGGTGCTCAAAAGGGTCATTCCTTTGAGGGGCTGGTTTCCATGGCAGGGGTTGCCGTGGTGAGGGGGGCCCTTGATGGTTCCAATGGGGGTAGTAGGCACAGTCAACACTTGAAAACAACACAGACAGTTCAGATAGGAGGAAACTTGTGAATGGAAAGCCCACTGCAGAGAAGTATGAGGGTTGAAGACGCATTATTGTATGTTTATCCAGTATTACCTCTGCCAAGGATAGCATGTTTTTGGCTGGGTTTGTCTGTCTGTTAGCAGGATTACTAACAAAAATACTCTCCTGAATTTCAGGAACATTTGTGGAAGGGTGAAACATGGGCCAAAAAACACTGCATTACTGTTTGGACCAGATCCTGTGTTAAATTGTGGTTAAAATTGCTATGTCATGTCGGAATAATTAGACAAATCTGAGTTTCTGTGTGGGAAAGTGCATGAGAATCCCCTTCTATTTGGAAGGACAGCTTGTAAAAAGCTATCATCTTGTTTTCCAAAGCACTGAGAAATGAAATAGAACACATCTTCTAGCGCCTATACAACATTATAATTTAAGGAATGAGTCATCAATCATTGCAGGATAAAAAAGTGGGACAACACAACTCTGCAAAGCCGAATAGGGTGCCCTGAGTTGATTGGTACATATGCCCTAAATTACATCCTTGATGTCTTTTCATTTTCTTCTAAATGTTACATATCTAAGACAGGATGTTGGATTTGCTGGTAAGTCCCTCTTCAGACGGATTCAGTAAAAACCCTTCCTGGAAGCAGGCCAGGATGTCCACAACACACACTCAGCTGCCGTGTTCCTGCAGTCCAGTTAAAAACAGACCGACATGAACGTGATGGGCCATCAATGTGCATCTGTTTCTACGTTTCACACTGGCTTTACAGAGTGTGTGAAGTTCCTATGAATCAGGGGGGGGTTTCCATTCATCCAAAATACGGCCCTGACAAGCAGATGCACACAGGAATAAGGATGGATCTTAAGTAAAAGACATGCTCTGGTTTTGTTTAGGAATCCCCAAGCCATGAATCCCTGGAGACTTATTTCCATAGCAGTGGATTCCTTTATGCATCAGCTGAAAAACACACTCGCATTAAAGAAACCCGAGTCTGTATGTTCTAACAATACTTGGACTTCAACAATGAGGCTCATTGATTCCTCCACTAGACTTCACTCTATGTCTACAGCCGTGCGCCGTTTGCAAAAGGATGGGGAGAACACAATCTAGCCGTTTAGCTTGGACATCTGGAAGTCATAAAGGCTCGGCGCTACATAGCTTAGCCGCTACGCTAGGCTAACAGGAGGTCGCTGGCCCATTTAGGACGACGCTGAGTCTCATTAGTGGTTTCCTCCCATCGTTGGTCTGAAAAACCAGACCAATGGAACTGGTGTACACTGCTGCTTTAAGAACATCACTTTGGATACTATAACGTCTATAAAAATAGATTTTTCCAACATATTTGACACTCAATAATATTGTAGCCACCTGCAGTTTTAAGAGCTTTTCTGACAACCAAAAACACATTGTTTGTTGTCTCAATAAAAATTGATTTAATTGAAATGCACTGCAAAGCCAATAAAACACTGTAAGGCTTTTGTGTGCTGTTTACATTAAAACAGACGCAGCTGGCTGCATATAGAAACACACGCAGCCATTATATTATCCAGAATATGTCATCAGCCCAGTTGCCTGCATTCTCGGGGGCCAATTAGGGGTGTGAAACCACAAACAGCAATTTAGAGCTGGACTATACAGTATGTCATAATCCCGCTAAAACAGAGAGGCATGAACTTCCTGTAATAGCTCTGTGTGAACATTCAGCACTTTTATTCTTGGAATGTGCTTTTGGGCACCACACAAACTGATCTAAATAAAGAAAGCTTTCTACAGGACTCAAATAAGTTTGAGGCACATGGATCAACATGCTGCAGATTTGCTGAACTCAAGCCAAGTAAACCTGCAAACTGTGGTAGGCGGTTTTGCTTTCTTTGTATCTCAGAAATACACTTCTTTCCTACTCACTCCCTTCTACAGACCTCATGGATTAGCTAACATGGTTACAACACAACTTTGAAAACCCAGAGTGGCAGAGAATATTATAGATGCCAATATCTGAGGGGTTTGCCACTGAGTGCAAGAATGCCCTGAATGAGTGTCCTCTCTGTCGAGGGGCATGGTCCGTGAGGGATGAAATGCGACACTGGCTGTCAGAGTTTGTTTGGGAGACTGGGTGCTATTCAGACAAAGAGATTGTCCTGTACCGAGGAGGTCACAGGATCGATCTTAGCGCCTGACAAACGGCGTTTATCAAACTCAATAAACCCAGCAACCTGTTACCTAGAAAATGAACTTAAATGAGGACACACAGGTCTGCATTTTCACAGCTGTTTCAACAACATCTGGACCACAGATTGTGCAAACAACACAAATAGTTATGCCAACGTTGCCACTGCCTAACAGCTTTCCATGCTGGTGAGTAAATGTCCATCTGTCCTGTGTTTTTCCAGCATATTGGTTTGCACTGATGTCTGTTTAGGAGACACATTTTTTGCAAATATTTTCTGAGCAAGACATTGACACCTGGCTTGTTCAGTCCTTGTAAAATACCTTGGAGATTGAAAACTGGATAAGAAACAGGAAAGCACAACACCTCCATTATTTAGTTCCAATTCCTTTCTTTACTACCCCAGTTGTATTCCTCTATGCCCAACAAAAGGCTCTAAAGTGGGCCAGGAAGCAGTGTATGTGTGTGGGGATACTCCACATGCAGGTCAGTGGGACGTTTGGTTCCTCTGAATAACGTGAATAAGATTAGGTCCCTCTCACAGTCGAGACTTAATCGTGTTTTAAATCACAGTTCTGTCAGCTCCAATTAGTTACCTTGCTTCAAGCGGAGCAGAAGAGGACACATCCTGAGACCCCAAACACCTGTGACTATAGCACTGCACCTCACACATTAAAGAGATTCAAAATCACCACTTGTATAGCTCATCATGGAACGCATTAAACCAATTGCTCTCATTCACAAACAAGAAGAACTACGACCATCAACCAACTCCAAACATTGTTCCTACACAATTCCTTAAAGGAAGCACAAGCCAACATGGCATGTCTTAATTTCAGTAGAGCGCAACGTGGGTCTGTGGTTTCAGGATTTTGACGGCACACGTAACCAGAATTGACGTTGGGAAATATACTTAACGTTCCTATGTGGTGCAAGAAAGAGTATTGGGTTTCCCAGTGGTTGAAAAGAGAAAAGAGAAGTGGCTAATTGTATGGCTCACATAATTCACAGAAGTACACCAGAACTGAATTTGAGATTTAAATAGGGGGTACTCTTGTAGCATACTGTACGTGCGTAAACACACAGATATAAACCCAACCTGTTGTTTCATGATTAAGGTATTTTCAATGAATCCACCAGTGATTAGACACAGCCCAATCTGGCCTGGTAGAGGAAACAGGAGAAGTAGGTGAAACTGAAAGACAGCTCGACTGTAATGCACTTTGTCAACCTCCATTTGGCCCGAGCCAAGAAACACATAATCTAGGTTTAAATGGGCAAGGATTAATTACATGTGTTGTCGTATGTCGTTCTTTCTGCACATTATTTGCAATGAGATGTGGTTAATTGAGACCAACATCCTACCAAGATTTACCCTACATCAATAATCAATAGAAGCCTCTCACACACTAAAAGGAATGTGATTTAGAACTCCTACAAGGAAAATGCATTGGGAAAACGGTCGGAATATGCATTTTAAAGATTGTCTTTGGTTATTGCTGCAAGGCCGGCCCACTAATTGGTCATTTTGGTCTTAGATTTCATTGGTCGATAAATATTTTGTTGGTTTTTTTCATGCTGTATGACTTGTTTTAAAGAAACCTATGGTCACATCTCTGGTTATCACAATATAAAAAGTGAAGCTGTAGATTTAATGAAATAATTGATTAGTCAACTTATGCCTTTTTTAAACCAGAGCCTCAAGTTTCTAAACCTCAAACCAAGACGAAAGCTCTCTGAATGCAGGCATGAGCTGCAAACACACCTGTTTTCAAGAAAAATACGCCAACACTTACATTGTTTAATCTAATTTGATGTAAATCCAAACTGACCCCATCATGAACCAAGTGGTAGAACTCAAAATCCAACATCTACAGCTTTCATTATATTCCATGCCTGGGATCTTTTGAGACAGCAATAGGAATGTGCTTATACAAAATCTGGAGCGCAGTTTCATGCGAACGTTAATTCCTTTTCATATAAAGGAATGTTTTTTACATGAACATTTACAGCTTCCTCTGCATGTGGAGGCTGAGGTGACACTGAAAGGAGGCAGTTTTGAGCAAATCCATGCTTAATGGAAGTCTGGACATCTATAGATCATTATCTATGGCTGAATATTGGTAATAAAAGGAACCATGGAAAGGACCTCCATTATAGCCAGCAGATGGAGAGGTAGGGTTTGTGATAAGGTGGCTCGGAATAATTGCAATCAATTTAATCGAATTCAACACAGGAAGGTTTTTAAATGCATGTTTGATGTACATCCAATGCAAGTCATGCCACCTTTTTGCTGATGCAAGCTGGTAAGGACTGCAAGGGCAACCCTAGCAGGAGAGATGCCAACTGCAAGCTGGGCTACTCCCATTTACAGTGTATCCACAAAACATAAGACAAATATATATAAGGATGCTGGGGAAATGATCTCCCCCACATGTTAAACCCACTGTCTGCTCACAGGTTGGTACTGCAGTGGAAAACCGGGGGGCTGCACGGGTTTCAGCACCATACAGGCGTGGACCAGAACAAAAGGCGCAGCCGGGTGCTGCAGCGGAGAGACGAGCCGGTACGCAGCGACATACACCGCAAATAAACTGATTTCAACACATTTCTTATACGTGAATACAACCGGCGCATTCCTCCAAAAATATTGACCAGAAAGCACATAGGTAACAAACACCTTGTCTAGCATTGATTCACACCTCGAAATGCACACATTGCTGTGCATCACACCATGACGCGCAGCTAAAGATGGGTGCCACATTGATTAGACACTTTTAAAGTAACCTCATAAAAAAAACTCCGAATTCATTTACCAATTATAAAGCCGTTTTTTCAATACATGATAAACAAAGAGCTGCATCTCTTACCTGCAGGTTCAGGCTGCTCAGCGGCACTAATACACTTGTGTGTGCGCAGAGCTGTGGTGACAATGAGCCGGGCCCTCTGACCCCTCCCCTCGCACGTTAAGCTATACCGTAAATGCAGCAGTATGGGCGCACGGGGTTTTGTGGCTGCAACATGCATGACATGCACTCTCTCAATGTGATTTAAGTACATTTATGCAACATGTTTGAAACAACAAATGCATGCACAGAGTTGGTCATTAAACAGCCATACATGTGAAATGCTGCTTCATCATTAAGAGACGTCTCTGTGATGAGCAGAAATGGATGTCCGCAGTGGAAGATGAGTGCAGAGCTGAAGGCACTGGGGTGTGGCTGTTGCTGAGGAAACATGGAAAAGAAGGGAGGGAGAGGGAAACGTGGATGTGATGCCAAGGGAGAGTGGGTAAGGAGGGGCAGGGGAAGGCAGAAAGAAGGGGGGAACTAGAAGAGGAGATGGGGGTGTGAGGGGGAGATGCATCAGTGAGCAGTAGCCGCACTTCTCTCCCCCCCAGGTGAGGCGGGTGGGGATGCTGCCTCCTCAACTGGCAGAATCACAGTCAGACTGGCATGCTGTGCATCTAACACCATATACACAAACACATGAGAATACAAATTGTATATCATTTAAAAGCTACTAGAATGAGATGCTGTACTATTCAACAGATACAACTAAAACAAATATGCGAGTCATATTCAACAGTATGTGCTGCAAATGGAATCAAATGGTTATTTCTCTGGAAGTTTTGTGGATGCTTTTACTGCCACCTACTGGTGGAAATGAGACAATGCACAAAGGGTGCTGATGCTGATCACATTCCTCACACATTCATCTCAACTTTAATCTTTAATTAGTTGCAAAAATAATAATATAATATCGGTCCAATGTTATTTTCATTGTTGACACAAAGGAAGAGAGTTCTAATTATGACATCGTTAGATATTAGTACGACATATTGGACACACAAGCAACTCTTAACACACAAGTGGCAACGTTTATTTAAATAATTTCAAGTTAAGATGAACATATTTTAATATGTATATATGTGCAGTATTACAAACTAGGTGTTTTACAGATTTTCTTATTATAAAAACACACAACAAATGGAACAATGCAAACAATTCTGAGAAGCTTTTCCTTACTTTGCCTTAAATAAAGTAACGGAGGTACTGCCAAATGTTGGATTACGTTAATTATAACCTTTTCGTATCCATACAAAGCTAATTATTTCAATATCTGAATTTTCTCAGTAATTTAGGTTATTAAAGTTTATTTGAATAAGTGTTTTATTTGTGAGAGGTAGAAAGGCTTATTTATTTGTTGTTATGATCCGTTTGACCAGGGAAGTACGCTACAGTAACATTGTTAATTGTATGTATTATTTATGTGAAGAAAAAGGGGATGCTGCTATCTTCTGATAAATGCAAGTGCTTATTAAGTCAATTTATTTGACTTTAATGTATTACATTTTTACGTCACAGTCTAGCTTTTTGATTACCTGTGGTGTTTGAATTCCTTACATACCTTTTCATATTTAAAGGTGGGGTAGGTAAGTTTGAGAAACCGGCTCAAGATACACTTTTTGTTATATTCCATGGAATGCTCTTAACATCCCGATAGCAATAAATATCTTAAGTGCTTTGACAAAAAATCCATAAAAAAACGTCATCTGTGTAAGCCGTAGTACTGTAAAAAGCACGACGAATCATCTGAGCCGGCCCGGCTAAAATAACTGGACGGCCTACCTGCCTGTCAGCCTTCCATCTGTGCACAAACTTATCTCGTGCCCTCATTGGTCATGTGCGCATTCGTGTGTGTTGGAGGAGCGGCTCTGTAAGGAAGTGGCAGATTTTTTACGGTTGTGTATTTTCAAATTCTAGCGCACTCGAGCTGGTTTCTCCAAAATGACCTACCCCACCTTTAAGTCAGCATCTACTAACGCAATCAACTACTTCTGGTTAACAATGGAGCGGGCAATGAGCTCTTTCATGATCTCATTGGTGCCTCCGTAGATGGGCTGAATACGAGCGTCGACAAACGCCCTGGAAAGACAGAGAGACTAGTTCAGCACCTTGTGGCATACCTACAATACAAACAATGTGACATTATCCCCAGAAGGTCATGTGACACTTACTTGGCGATGGGGTATTCCCACATGTAGCCCCAGCCTCCGTGGAGCTGCAGGCACTGAGTGGCCACCTTGTTCTGCAGGTCAGACGCCCTGGAGAAGACAAAAGTGATAGTAGCAACTAGGGCTGCACGATTTGGGGAAATAATGTAATTGCGATTTTTCTGACAGATATTGCGATTTGCGAAGTTTATTGTAAAATGCGGCCGTATCTCCGGCTAGGAAGGTCGTATCAACGTGCTCCCGTCTCTAGCACCCCCGCAGCCCGAGCTACGAGTGAAAGAACTAAACTTACATGAAACTATCTGAGTCAGGTTAGTAATGCTCCATCACATGTTTTACATCCATTACAGGGTGAATCTTAAACTGAAGCTTGACTTTACCATCTAGGAAAGCTCCATTGGAAGCCATTTGGAAAAGTATTTCAAAAATACTTGGCAGGTGATTGGATCAATCTGTCTATCACCTACTATCATGGGCCACTTCTGATTGGTTAACAGGCCTAGTAGCAACATGATCCAGTGTGTGCCTGAAAAGTGAGGTAATGCAGACATTCTCACCAGTATTTGGCCATGGAGGCTGTGGCGGCGTCGAGGCGTTTCTCAGAGTGCAGCAAAAGGCAGTTATCTACGAAGGCTCGGCCCACACAGATCTCAGTTTTCAGCTCTGCAAGCTTGTGTTGCACAGTCTGTGGAGTCCAATCACATCCAATGATATCATAATCAGAAGATCTCATTTATTCAGATACATTTGACAGTTGCTCCAAGTTTAGAATGAAATACAAATAGTATATTTTGATATGCAAAAATGAAAAGTTAAAGTAAAAAATGCAATAAAAGAAAAAATTCAATACAATACAAATGGTCAAAATGTCCACTCAGAGATAAAATACAATAGAGAAAAACTATATTTTATAATTCAAAATGTACTACAAAATATAGCATTAATATAAGAATATATACAGGTGGATTAGTATTCATAACATTAACTCTACTGAAGAAATAAATCTGCTTCTAAGGAAAAATGGCAGGTAAAAAGCAAATATTTTAGTTTGAAGTATTATGAAGGGAGCTTAAACAGAAGCGTAATAAGACTATGACAAAAATATCAACTTCTGAAATCTTTGGACATCAAGCCACAACTAAAACAATTAATCCCACACAGATTATAATATAACAAAACGTTGTTATACAGACCTGTAGGTGAGCGATAGTCTTTCCGAAAGCCTTCCTCTGCATGACATAGTTCCTGGTTTCCTCAAACATGAACTCACAGCTCGCGATGGCCATGCCAGCGATGGTCAAACGCTCCTTTCCCGGAAAAATTATTAAATTATTCACCATGAAACTAACCGGAAACATTTAATGGTTTACTCGAGCGACTGTCAAAGATTAGTAAAGCACAAGGCAAAGAGAAAGATTTGAAATGCCATTATATTGAACAAATTAATTATTATTATTGGATTTGTCATTCCAAATGTTATTTTATTGTATTATTGTTTGTATTTTGGGGATGATCATGCTTTAGTTTGTGCACCCATGACTACTATATTTGGATTTCTTTGATTTTGAGAAAATTATAAAAACTTGAAGATCCTCAGGCAATGTTTTGAGTTATAGGATTATTGTTAGAATGTAAGCGGATTCATGGAGTAGTTCACCTGGGGCAGTTCATTCATCAGGTAGTAGAAACCCTTGTTGACCTCCCCTATGAGGGCGTCCGCGGGGAGCCGTACATCCTCAAAAAACAGTTCGGCTGTGTCCTGTAAAAAAGTAAGGACAAAATAGTTAGAAGGCAGAATCAGTGTCGCTTTGCCCCTGATGCTAGATCTTCCCCAACCCTTGAGCTCCAGCACCTGGGCCTTCAGACCAATCTTCTCCAGCTTGCGTCCCTTCTGGAAGCCCTTGGTGCCGTTCTCCACCAAGAACAGACTGATGCCGTGCGCCGCCACCTTCGCCTCGCGGTTCGTCACGGCAACCACCACCACCAGGTCGCACATCCAACCGTTACTGATGAACACCTGGAAAATACCTCAAGGTGAAGTTGAGATGCACGGACAGTTTATGCTTTAATGACTCTTTCCTAGTCCTGTGGCGGTATCAGACTAAGTGAAGTTAATCCTGATACATCGGAGGGCTCTCTCGACAAAAAGCCAGTGGGATTTCTCCGTTGGATTTTGGAATATTGAAGAAAATAAGTCAAAAACACACATTTATGATACTTACACGTGTGGTCCAGCAGGATAATCTCCACATATTAACACCACTATAATAATTTAGAAGCGTAAATGCAATCTCCAGAAGTAAATAGCTAGCATTGGGGATATAAACGGAATACATCCCGGTTGCATGGCACTACGTCAACACGCTAATGAAGCTAATGATGGCTAATGTTTGGTGTAGCTAATGTTTCCTTGTCTCATTTAAACTGCTGTTTTTTGGACACGTAAAAGCTTTGGACGTTTACCAGTGGGATGTTTACTGACATATTTTATGTTATCAAACTGTGTTAAACACTGACCCTTTTTCAGGTATCTAACCCAAAACCAATTCCAAAAACCGTTGATTTACTCATAGCTTATGTTGTATCTTTTAATATGTTGTTACCAGAGATGGGGTCGTTACTAAAAAAAAGTAATATATTACATATTACATATTACTTTAAAAAAAAGTAATATATTATATACTTCGTTACTCTCTACATAAAGTAACTCGTTACTTACTCGTTACTTTACTCGTTACTTTACTCGTTACTTTACTCGCAGGGCCGCCCGCCCCTCCCTACAGGCAGATCACGCAGACTGCGGCGCACCTACAGTGTGCGCGCCACAGTTTTGCCTCTGCGAGACTCCACTTGCCCCCCCAATTACTATTGCATTAAGGAAGACATAACACAAGTCTTTCTTTTATATGCTCTAAAATAGGCTACCAGCCACACAACAAGCTAACAGTCTGTGAAACGTCAAGACACTAATTAATGAAACCAGTTCAAGACGCATTATTCTTATCATTCTTTATGAGCGCAGTAACGGTAAGGTATCTAATTACTTATGTATTTAGAATTCCATAACTTAGTAACAGAGATGGTCAAACTAAAGTGGTAGAGACAGAATTCCTACAATGAAGCGGGACATTGAACTGTTCACCCGTGAGTGGGCGATCAACAAAAGAGAGCGAGCGGCCCCGTTGAGGGAGTTTACAGATGAAAAGACTCAGCCATGTTTATGCAGCACTGCACGTGGAGATGTGGTCTCGCAAGTCGCGCAGATTACATAGGCCTACATGTATATAAACCTGCGGCGGAAACCTCTCTAGTCTGTCAGTGAGTGTGATTATTTTATAAAAGTAACGAAGTAACGCGTATCGGGGCAATGTTAGTAACTGTAGTGTAATTACTGAATTATAAAAGTAACGCGTTACACTACTCCGTTACCGACAAAAAGTAATTTTATTACAGTAACGTGTTACTTTGTAGCCAACTCTGGTTGTTACCCCTAACGACATGTGCAAGATTATGCCTTGCCAAATGAAATCAACTAACCAGTCTTGAGGAACCTCCAATGACATATGAATCAATATTTGTTGCTGCATTGCCTATAACTTCTTCTGAAATGTTTTCAGGAACATATTTTGGTGCACTGTGTTATATTCTCATCATATGTGGCATAACATGGTTTTAAAAATCACAATCATTTCACAATTCGGTTACCTTGTTGCCATTGAGGATCCAGTCACTGCCATCCCTCTTAGCGTATGTCTTCACACCTTGAAGATCACTGAAAATAAAAAGATGGCGGGTCATCAAAGCTCCTCACAAACCTCATGTGGTTGTTAGAAAAAAAAGAAATGCCGAAGACCTTACCTGCCCGCTCCTGGCTCCGTCATGGCGATAGCGCTGATGCATCTCCCAGCAGTCATCTCGGGGGATGAAAGCGTTCAATTTGTTCTTGCTCCCATAGTTCGATACGTTAGGGCATGATAATGTCAGAGTGCAGTACGAAACCCGGGCCTGAGCAGTTGGAGTACATCCTGGAGGACAAACGAATAAAGACATTTAAAAAAAAGTTTGATTTCATTATTCAATCATTTCATTTTTAAATCAACGTACTGCTCCTCCCACACGACAGCGCAGAAAACAAGGTCTGCTCCGATGCCCTCCGTGCTCCTCTGGGAATCATAACTCCCAGCAGGCCTTGCTCACCAGCTTTCTCCCACACCTCCCTGCTCACCTGACCGGCCTTCTCCCACCTGGCACAAGGGGACAACATTTAGTTAAGTGGAAATACTTTACATACAGTACCTGGGTCTGTGCCACGCTTCCCCCTACTCTGAGTGGTATGGAATCACTTCCTCTTGATAGAAGCGCCGGACACTTTGTCTGAAGATGTCATGGTCCTCGTTGAAGATCCGCCGGGTTCCGATGTCCATCAGGGACTTGGCGCTGGACGTCTCTGGACGGGTGTGCTGCTGCCTAGGTGGAATTTCAGTAAATGCAACCAATCATCAATCATTTTAAAACACATGAGAAATAAAAGGTACTTTATTTGTTGTATAAGGGTGGGGGGGAACAGCATTTCACAAACTTTAAGATTAACAGGCTATTTCTTTTTTTCTTGAATTAAGACTGAAACGCTTAATCATTATCAAAACTATTTCAGACCCCCATTTTTGTTGATCCACTTATTGATTAATCGACTAATCATTTTCAGATCCTGCTATTTTGTTGAATTAAAAACTAGAATAATTACTTTTAAAATACTATTACACTACTCAATACAATTATAACAGAAGTTATATATATTAAGTTATATAAAAGCAATCATGATATTTTAGCAAGTTTACATTCAATGTTCCTGAACAAAAAATATCTAAATGACCTTCACCTTACCTTAAGTTGTCACGAGTACAACGTATTAAAAAGAGACTTGGTCAAAGGTCATGACCCACTTTGAGTCGATTACGTTTAGATTACAATCAATTCATTATAAAGTAAATATTAGTGTATTCAGGGTTCCTGCAGGTTTCGCCAACTCAAATTTCTCGTCTTCGACTACTTTCGAGGCGAGCCGCAACGCGTCTCAAAACAAGGCCTAATATGTTTCTCAACGTAAGCAACTATCTAAACATATTTTCACTTCAGAAGTTATAAATGATCGTTTATAAAGATATATTGTACCTTGCAACAGCCACGGGGATCGCCTGTTTCGGTGCGGAGACATTCCTCAACCCCAAAGAAACGTTGTTGTTAACTTTTTTAGGCAAACATCTTCTACACAGGTTCACAGTGATGACAACAACCCAAAGATCTTTCTGCGTAAGGGAGAGGGCTCCACTCTATAGACGCTACTGGCTCCTCCTCTGGCATGGTTAATCATTGATTGTACACATTAGGTGTAGTATTTAACATTTACGTATGAAAAAAAAGTATTTACTGTTTAAGGTAAATGTTCTATTTTATTTGTGTGTGATTTAGGGGAAATTATATGCGTCTTTGGAGAAAGTTTTCCATACATAGGTTGCGGTCGAATAGTCCAAAAATCAACTCCTATCGTATATCCCTTGACCTCTGTGTGAACGTCACGGGGTTAAGGGATAGTGGATAGGAGAATTCAAAAGGATTTAGGAGAAGAGACTGCGGTACTTTAGAGAATCAACTGCACTTTCACTATCTGGCGTGTTTATGATGCGCCAGCAGACGTCATAAATGTGCGTCTGCTGCTGTGGGGAAAACTATGGAAACTACAGTTTTCTATACAGCGGACTATCAACATGGATGTATAATAAGAACGAGAGACTACTGTAAACTCATCTAGAGACTCTGCCACCGTGCTCTGACGCTGTTGCTTGCTTTATGAAACGTGGACAACAGAGAAACATATTCTTCATGACCAAAGTTGGAATTGAAATAAAAAAGGAAAGGTGAAACGTATGCTCGTCACCCTCTCCCTCCGGTCCACTTTAATACAAATGATCCCAAGGCAATACGTATTATTGTATGAAAAGATCTTACAATAAATACAAATGTATTTATTATAAACGTTAGTCTTTAACATCTATCACTGTGTACATCACCATTATTAAACATCTTTTTAAAAGTTGAACAAACCCCCACACAGCTCAGTAAAGACTGTTGAGATGTTGACTTTATTGATCATTCAGTAAAAACTAACGTTCATATTTGGTCCGTGTACTTTTTTGTCAGTTTGATTTTTCGTTTTAAACAAAAGCCAAAAAACGGGAAATACCAGCCCTTTTTCCCGTTTTTCCCGTTTTTTATTTAAAACGGGAAACCACAGCCGTTTTTTCCGTTGTTGTTGTCTGAATAAAAAGACCCGATAACGAGAAAACCTAATTAAAAAAGGTAAGTGTACGTTTTGTTAGTTTGATTTTTCGTTTTGAACCAAAAATGAGAAAATGAAAATACCAGCCTTTTTTCGTTTTTAAATCAAAAACGAAAAAAACGTGAAACCAAAGCCGTTTTTCCTGTTTATGTTGTCTGAATCAAAAACGGATAACAAGATAAAACGGTCTGATTTTGGTTTTTGATAACAACTTCATTCAATGTTCCGTTTTTGTATTGAAGAATGAAGAAAGCAGTCCGCTTGACCGGAAGTTAAAGAACATATTTCAAATAAAAGACAGGAGGATATAATGGCAATGCTGTAAAAGACCCATAAGTCTGACGACCCTTGGCCCCCCTGCTTCCGGCACCCCATGCTTCCGAGGATACGTTATTTCTGCATTCACATGCAGATATGCGTTTATAGAGATTAATTCAAGTATGCAAGCTCTGTGCATAATTTATTCCTTGACTTCCGGTTTGTACTGTGTTGGCAAATCCAGTGTCCAGCTTGTCGCTGTGTGACAACCATTGAACAACGTCATGTTTGTTGCATACCTGCAAGATTTACCTGTGACAATGTCAGCGATGTGAACAGAACTGTCGCCCTACTTTCACCTGCCACCCAAGCAGCAAGCGGGAGAACGATATCTCATACAGTTCACACAGTAATGGAACAGTTGTTAAGCATTATTTTTTGTCCAACTAGTCTCTACATTATGAATTTGATGTTTGTCTAAACTGCTAAGAAGCTGACAGCTGAATTAGAACAGAAAGACATGCAGGCCATAATCACTAGACGCTCAAAAGAGGAATGTGTGTGTAAGGCTTACATGAACTGAATTGAAACACTGTCCATTAGTTGATTAATAAACAAGACATTCAAGTCAAAGTTTTAGGCATTTTCATTTGTAGCACGCTGAAAATATGGACTATGAATGAACACATGCAATGTGGAAACACACAAATAGGTTTATTCTCAATACTCATAACAGTATCAGACACAATGACTTTACTGAGAGTGAAGATGACATGAACATAGTTACTGTATGGTACTGAAGACAACATACAGTATATTGCATTTACCTCTTCCTCTAACTCTCTCTCCAATATTGGCCTCCATTGTTGTGCACAACAAAGTGTTCAAGCTCAGGTTTCTAAGTGATATCATTTTAACATGTGCATTCTGGGTGCAGGGTTAGTAGGGCTAACCCATATCTGTTCAATAGATGAAAGGCAACTTGAGTTTAATAATTGTGCCAAAAGTACCAGTTTGTGTCTTGGTAATTTTGCACAAAGCTGTAATAGGCCACAAATAATCACATTTTTCTAAAAACACAGCAGCAAAACCTATTTTATCCACCCAAAAATGAAGGCCCACCTGAAAAAAATCGCTATTTTTAGCATTAAATAATGTACACTTAAACTGATATAGCTTTTTTGGTGGAGAAAATAAATGTGCTTTTTGCCCACGTCCTCAGCAGTACATGACTCTGCTGTGCCGGGGCTCCTGTATGTTTCTCCACACGACTACTGTAGGTAGTACACTGATTGTGGATATATACCACACACTACCCCACTTCAAAAGACCAGAACTATCCCGTGTGTAGTTTTAGTATTTGAATTACAATGACATTATCCTCAGACTTGCCATAGTTCTTGGTTTGTACCACTGCTGCTCTGCTCTGTACAGCTGAGTACTGGGGACCCACTGGGAGTCATGTGACTGGAGCAGGAGAGTAACACACGTCACACCTGCAGCCATGATGCTCCAGCTCAATGGGGGTCGAGTCTTTCAGCCCCACCTGTAAGAAGAGAAACAAAATAAATACGTATTCAGTTTGCTTTGTATTATTTATTTTAGGGTAACATTTTGGTTTAATAACATTGTGCTATTTTAAGGAGTAAATAAGTCATATATTTTTTCCTAAATGTTTTCTATACTTACAACTTCTTATACATACTGATATGAATTGATTTACTTGTATACTATGAACGAAGAAGAAAAATGACTCTTTACACAACAGAACAGGAACAAAACACAACTGTGACCTCTGTGCAGCACACACAGACCAGTCAGTCCATTTCTGGGGAGTAGCTAGTACCCTTGTGCTAGTTATATTAAAGTTGATGTTTACTATTGGCTGTGTCTAACCTGTCTGAAATGAGCCAAATCCCCAGGATCATGTTGAGCCAGACGGTAACTAAGACAGTAACACTTCATCCTGACCTCACTGTGGGGCCTGTCCTCATGGACCTGTAGCATAACACCCTGACACTAAAATACAAAGTATGTTCATTAAGAATGCACATATTGTCCCTCCTCTGTCTTTCAATGTAGTCAAACTTGTTGAAGAAAAACAATAAGTTTAACGTTACAGAAATAAAAGCTTAATTACTCACCCTCCTAATTGTAGACGTAACTTCACAAGTACAACTTGAAACATGTCTCCCGCTTGCTGCTGGGTGCAGGTGAGAGTAGGGCGATATTTCTGTTTACATCGCTGACATTTGTCACAGGTAAATCTTGTAGGTATATCACAACAAACATGACGTTGTCACACAGCGACAAGCTGGACACTGGATTAACCAAATAACTACACACTCTTATTTACATTTGACACGTTATTCAAAACCAACAGCCTGTGTGTTGTTTGCAAAACACTGCCACTGAAATACCACACTCAATTATCAAGCCCCTGCACCCAGAATGCACATGTTCAAAGCCATGTAACCAATTAGATCACTTAGAAACCTGAGCTTGAACACTTTGTTGTGCACAACAATGGAGGCCACTTTTGGAGAGAGAGTTAGAGGAAGAGGTAAATGCAATATACTGTATGTTGTCTTCAGTACCATACAGTAACTATGTTCATGTCATCTTCACTCTCAGTAAAGTCATTGTGTCTGATACTGTTATGAGTATTGAGAATAAACCTATTTGTGTGTTTCCACATTGCATGTGTTCATTCATAGTCCATATTTACAGCGTGCTACAAATGAAAATGCCTAAAACTTTGACTTGAATGTCTTGTTTATTAATCAACTAATGGACAGTGTTTCAATTCAGTTCATGTAAGCCTTACACACTCTTTTGAGCGTCTAGTGATTATGGCCTGCATGTCTTTCTGTTCTAATTCAGCTGTCAGCTTCTTAGCAGTTTAAACAAACATCAAATTCATAATGTAGAGACTAGTTGGACAAAAATAATGCTTAACAACTGTTCCATTACTGTGTGAACTGTATGAGATATCGTTCTCCCGCTTGCTGCTGGGTGCAGGTGAAAGTAGGGCGACAGTTCTGTTCACATCGCTGACATTTGTCACAGGTCAATCTTGCAGGTATGCAACAAACATGACGTTGTTCAATGGTTGTCACAGCGACAAGCTGGACACTGGATTTGCCAACACAGTACAAACCGGAAGTCAAGGAATACAATTATGCACAGAGCTTGCATACTTGAATTAATCTCTATAAAGGCATATCTGCATGTGAATGCAGAAATAAACGTATCCCCGTCAGCATGGGTGCCGGAAGCAGGGGGGCCAAGGGTCGTCAGACTTCTGGGTCTTTTACAGCATTGCCATTATATCCTCCTGTCTTTTATTTTGAAATATGTTCTTTAACTTCCGGTCCACCGGACTGCTTTTCTTCATTCTTCAAAACGGAAAATTGAATGAAGTTGTTATCAAAAACCAAAGTCAGACTGTGTTTTTTTATTAGGTCTTCTTGTTATCCGTTTTTTGACATAAACAACATAAACAGGAAAACGGCTTTGGTTTCACGTTTTTTCGTTTTTGATTTAAAACGAAAAAAGGCTGGTATTTTCGTTTTTTTGGTTCAAACGAAAAATCAAACTAACAAAACGTAGACTTTTTTTATTAGGTTTTCTCGTTATCCGTCTTTTGATTCAGACAACACAAACGGGAAAACGGCTTTGATTTTCCGTTTTAAATAAAAAACGAAAAAAGGCTGGTATTTCCGTTTTTTTGTCTTTTGGTTTAAACGAAAAATCAAACTGACACGGACCACCCTCCATCACCGCATGTCTTCTTCTACTAAAGCTTTATGAGCTATTCTTACGTAACTCCGACACCTATCGGCAGTATTATGTACTTTTTTTAAATGTAAAAATCCACACCCGAAGTATTAAAGCCTTTGGTTGCATATTCATGCTTTTCCAGCAACATACACATGAAACAATGTTGTATTGATGTTTGTTATTTTAACCGATTATGGATTGATTTGTATCTTTATCTTAGTATAACGTTTTTTTGTGTTTCTGTGACAGTAAGTCTCAGTATTGTATGCGGTCAAATTGACTAACATTTAATTAAGGACGTTAATATGTGGGAGGGTTTGAGCACAAGTCATATGTCGTTTTAAAAATAAATAAAATGTTTTTTACAAAAATAAGCTAAGGTCATGGAGTTTCAGGTTAAAACTAAAATCTTTGTATTTGTTTACTTTAAGTATAAATCTTTGAACTCATCAACTTGACCTTACACCACACAAGGGTTAAACTATAACCATGGCTGTTTTACAGTAACACAACTTGTCTGCCCCAGTCTTGTGTATGACATATTGTTATCCCCACATTCATTAAAACATAAACAAACACGGGTGACCGAGTCGGGACACAAGTGCATTCATGAGCAATGGTATACCAAAACCAACATGTTCCTGTCTGATTCCTCGTCCTTGTTTCAATGGAATGCAAAACAAATCAAGCAATAAGTGGAAGTGTTGGTCTGCAAAGTTATTCATTGAGCAAATGTGCATAAATTATGTTCTGACACACTCAGAAAATGCTGTTTAAAATGTCCTTTTATCTTTTGTTACACACACCCTGCCTCTGATGGAGAGTTAAAAAGGTAATGCGGTTTCAATAACCCTGCGAGACTAAAGTTTTAAATGCTTCATCATGTGCATGTCATCTGTCAATGTCAAATGCAAATACTGCATGCTATACTGAGATATTCATGCATACTGTATATAACCACCCACCTCATATGTCTATTAACATTGTGTACTGTATGTATTTGACTGACTCTGCAAACTGTCTCCACAGAGAACATAGCTTTTTTAACAAATTAAATGCATATAAGCTTTCTGGATCGTGTTTACTATCAGTCTTCATTCTGAGGTATCCATTAAAGTAAGACTAAGTCTCAAAGTCCAGTATAAGTGTTTGCTAAGTCATTGAAATCACGAGTCTTATGCTTTGCTGACAGACTGAGTAACCGTCAGTGTTATTTAGAGACGACAAAAGAGTTCTGTTTAGGGCATTTTGGGAAGTAGGGGTGAGCTTTGATGCTTCGGGCTCGACTTGGAAAACATTTTCAAGTTTAAGTTAAAAACAAGCTAATTTCTTCTATTTTGTTATACATTTGTAAAAAGGTTATATGGTGAGACTTTGTTTACTATTTTTAAACACCTAATCAATACATTACACGACAATGAACTACAATTTGACTGAATCTTCTCATTTGCGGGTGAATGGACGGTCTGATACTAACACATATCTACGGCTTTATGTGGGCAATAAAAGATCAAGACTCAACCCAAATGGGATGTACGTTGGAAAAGTTTATTTTGAAATGAACAGACAATAAATAAAACTTTCCGGGGAAGTGGGTGACTTGTTGGCGGTCTATCCACGGCCGCTCCCCAGCACCTTTGGCATTGCTGGGCCAGTGATGACGTGACTGGATGTGGTGGCGGTGGGAAGGGAGGGATCTACCCTCACTTGATGAGCGGTCATCCCTTCTCCCCCGTTCCTCACCCCATGCGGCGGGTGGAGCGAAGGCCAAGTGATGTTGGGTTCTACAACGGAAGTGGTTGATGGCGGAGATGTCCGGAGAAAAGGAGGGTTGGAGACGAGATGGCAAGAAATACAAAATAAACAACAAGATGGGTTTGCTTCAACATCCCTTGTACATAGTCCTTGTCTTTCCTTGGTTGGTCTTTGGTATAGTGTAGATGTCCTGAACACCGTTGGGCTGTCTGTAGGCGAGCTACAGTTTCAGCACTCCTACTGCTGGCCGCTTATACAGACATGATGTGCTTGACGAAAGCTGGAGAAAAACAAAACCATAGGGTTAAATCTGTCCCATGATGACAGCTGTTCAAATGACTTGAAGGCATGCTGGGAAATCAAGGCTTACCCTCGTAGTGCACACTGCCGTTCTCGTCTTCCTGGCCGGTCATGAGGGAATCAATCTCGACCTCGGACATCTTCTCTCCTGTAGATGGACCAATGTCAGCTCTTCCATTTCACACACATGTTCTGAGCTAAGCAGATTGTATTTCTGCACTTCTATATTTAGGTTGCTCACCCAGGGTGGACAGCACAATACGCAGCTCAGCGCCCATGACTGTGCCGTTGCCCTCCTTGTCGAAGACGCGCAGACCCTCAACGTAGTCGTCATAAGTACCCTTGGGCATCGCGTCAACCTGCTTGAGCATGGGAAGGAAAGCCTCGAAGTTCACCCTCTTGTTGGCCATGTCTGTGGAGAAATGTCACGCACCATAAACTCCCATTGAAAGGCGTGACAAACACATAGTTTCTCTAACAATGAAGACTGGATAGAGTTATGGGGGCTCACCATCAGCGGATGGGTTGCCAAGGATAGCAACAACGGCCTTGTTGGTGGGGTTCATGCCCAGAGCGCGCATGATGTCAGCGACCTGGTTGTAGCCAACCTGGCTGTCACCGACTCTGTCGAAGAGGCCGAAAGACTCCTTGAACTCTGGTAAGGAAAGGGGAGAGAGGACTTTGAGTTACTATAAGTACTGAGAGAAGTTGGTGAAAAGAACTTAAAATGGTCCTCAGTGATAGCCCTTGCAAAAATCAACTGGCTGTCAGGTTTGTTTTAGGTAACTAACATATGAAACTAATAAAAACGATCCAACTAATACAAATGAACCTTAATTCATTTAACTTTAGATATTTATCCACTTCAGCAAAACATACTGTAAAATATACTTAATACTTCAAACAAACAACAATAAAAAGCAACATGACCTTGGTGTCTACCCTCTCCTTATGGTCTTATGGTTTAATGAGGAATACAAATAATACTCAGTCTGTCTGGTACCACATTAATGCTAGTAACATTGTCAACTTGATCCCTTTGCTTTTGGGTTTTATATTCATAATTTCACAGGGTTCTTCGTCAGGTATGGCAGCCATGTGTTGTCACATTTTGTTGGAGGATCAACGCCATTAGAAGTGGTATTCTCCTGCCATTGTTCCAAGATAAT